GCCATCCTCAGGGAGGGCACAAGCAAACTTGATATTTACATGCAGTATCATTCTGCCCTAAGCTGGAAGGTTTCATCTGCATTCCATAATTTAATAAAATGAAAGCCTTGCCCGACCACAACAGCTCCTGTGTCTGTCTCATTTTTGACAGATAAATGGAAATCACTGCATTCTTCCAACAAGTAAAACCCCTTTTTGTCCGCAGGAGTCCTTACTGACATATGGGCCCCTACCTACCGAGCTCAGCTCTCCAAGGCTGCCACAGGCACCCTGGGAGGATGAGCAGGACACAGTCCCTCCAGTTTCTTCCCCTGTGAAGTACGTGCCTCTTCTTGCCCTGCACCCTTTGGGGATCTGTGAGAATGTATGCTGCGGCCCCTAACCACTTCTGTGGACGCAATTAACTGGGGTAGGCTTGTTTTATAATCTCAAAGCAGTGGGCGCAACACAGTGGTGTCTCTCCAAGCATGCCTTTATTTTCCACTCGTACAGACAGACCTATGCTCTGATACTTTATCATCTTGAGGCACCTGGCATTGTCCAGTCAGGTTTCCCATTAGACTTTAGAGCCACCAAAACCAGCAGAAAAGCGAAGATGGTAACAAACCACAACAAAAGCGGTGTTCCTGAGGAACTAACACGAGGGTGGGAGAAGGAGTCACATTCAACAACAAAAAAATCTCCTCTACTGACCTGGCTCTATCATTTTTCTTTCTTTCACTCTTTTTTGAGGTAAAGACTGCACTCTGAAAACTGAGCAGTCCCATGCAATTCCACAGTCAATGCTTCTTACCATCTCCAGAAAATGATAACTCCACCTTTAACTATAGGCCACCCTTGCACAAGATCAGGGAGTCAAGCTTTGTTCTGACTGATACTTCTTTACGCATCAGACAGACCTTGCATTTGGAGTTTCACTCGTTGGCTAATGTGCCTGGGCAAATTCTGGACTGGTGCTTATCACAAGGGATTTAAAAGGCATCCCACATCTAATCAACTCTTGCCTCTAAAAACTCATATTGAAAATCCTGAGGAAGAAAACCAAAATTAAATCCCCAAAGACCTCCTATGGACTGTTTCATACCTCAGGCTTGAAAATAACTGGGCCAACTGAGAAGAATTTTGATTCTTTTTTAAATTGAGATTTTGCTCCACCTAATTCAGTTGAGATTACTTATGTGACTGCAAGTCTTCCCAAAATGTACTTTAAAATGGAAGTGCTGAAAGATCCTCTGCAATAAAAGCATCTTTACAAGTCTCTCCCACACCTCCTTCTGTTTTCATTTGTTAAATGAAAAATCAATTACCTTTCAAGAGAGAGGCAAGAACTGCAGTGAAGTACCAGGAAAGCCTGGAGACTCCATTTCAAAAAAACTTCAAGCACTTCTGGCAATTTTAATTTGGGAACCTAAACCAGCAATTCTTTGGGTCCCACAGAAAAGGAGATACAAAGGATATACACTCATGCCTGTACTCTGATATCAGAAAGCACAAGCAATTAAGCAAAAGGCAGAATACAACAGAACCCATACAGTTTAATTTCTGACATCCCTTGTACTTCTTTTTGGGCTGCAAACCTTGAAGTCTATCATATTTCAGGAAGTAGAAAGCTCAGGAAAATGAGAGATCCTTCAAAGCACAACAGACACCTGCAGTCCAGGCAAACGATTTCCAAAGTGCCCAGATTTGAAAGCATAGGTAGAAGCTCTAAGGCTCTTTTATCTGTATGTATGACTCCATTAAACAAAACAAAAAACCCCAAACCCCAACCAGTGTTCAAACAGTGAGGTCAAATTTGGTGTTGACAGATTTGACAAGTAGTATCACTTAATGCTGGAAAGTGAGATGTATTTAAGCATCTCTCAGACTAAGAAGGAGATAAGTCAGTCATTACGTACACCTTCATTCCTAACCTTCCCACATTTTCTCCACCTTGAAATGCTGTAGCAGATTCTTACACCTCAAGGAGAAAGAGTACAAACAATTACTTCAGTTAGGCAATATGGATGCAAGCAAAAGCTGTCTGTTCCCAGAGGGAGTCAGTTTATACTAGAGAGGTATGTGCATTACTACATTCAGACACACAAAACAGCGACGTTTCCTAAAGGGCAAGTGCACAGAACGCTTCCTGCCACGCATTCAGTATTTGAACATGCAGGCAGCATAGTCTGCAAAAAGCACTTTTAATTGGCAACTTCACAAAAATGACAGCACTGGGCAAGGCAAAAAATCCCAGCATCCCATTTTCAGCAATTGGCACCTGGTGTTAGAAAACGATGTGAGCACAGGAGTACTAAGCTTGCTTCTGGCAATCGCCAAGTCAGGTATTGCTGAGTTACAGCAGCAAAGCTGTGATGCAATTCTAGAAAAGGCAAAGGCTTTGATTATTTGTTTCCTTCCAAAAAGTGACCTATCTGTTTAAGATCAAAAGTGTTTTCTTTCTTCTAGAGTTTTCACTGCTCAATAAAACTGATATTTATTTAGACACCTCGTTCCTAGGAGTCTTTAGATACTAAATAGAGGTCGGGACCTATGCTAGTATAAAATAGCTTTGCCCTGTTAACCTATGAGAAACGAGCCCAATTTCCTTACCATGAAAACCTACAGTAAGTTTTTTGTCAGCTAGTGTGATAAAAAAGCTTGTTAGATGGTTCAATGTCTAGGCTTTGTCCTGATCTTCAAATACCTACATTCATAACTTAGGAATCAAAGTCTGACTGACTTTTCTGACTGTTCATTTTTGGTCTTTACTTGCTGGGAATGTAGCTGTCTGCTTCAGCTATGCACTTAATTGAATTTCCTTCCCTGGATTACCTCAAGATAGTCCTTGAAAATGGGTAGTTCACAGAACAGGACAGGTACTGTTCATAGTGAAAATGGGATATTTGCAGATTATTTACATATTGCATAGGAAGGTTTTGTTGTGGAGTTACATAAGCAAATAAAGAAATGGTAAAGCTTATCAGGCCATCAAGCCACTTTGTTCCTTCTCCCATTAAATAGCCATTTCTGGACAGCAGTGAGATTGGGGTTCAGGGCATTTACATCAAAGCAAGCGTGGGGCTCCCATGTCAAGTTACTGCTGATTGCCATCTGTGAAGCTTTTTGAAGACAACACTCCAGACCTCTTTCCAAACCTGATCATTTCTGAAATACGGCACAGCAAGGAAACTCAAAGTACTGATTGCTAGTTTGCACACAGGGAAGAAAACCTTAGGTTTTTCCCCTGCTTGTTACCATCACTTCATTCCACAGCTTTCTGATTGTCCCACTTCAGCTGCAGATCTTCAAACAGGTCTAACTTTCAGGTCTGCAGTCAATTAAACAAGTCACTTGGTGTACATTTTGTATATAGGTATTTCCAGGACTGGAGCCCTTGTAACCTTAAAGAGAGGTATGTAGTCTCAGTAAACAGTTTAATCTTTAAAAAGAACTTGAAAAAACCAAACACTACTACAAATACAAAATGCTTGTTTACCCAAAAGAAACTTCCTCGATTATGAAGCCTGAGATATAATTTTCAAAGTAGCCACCGAATATCGCTGCATCTAAGTTTGGATGTAGGATCTGGATTTGAATTCTGGCTGCTTAGTTGCACTGCAAATCCAGTTTCCCAGTCTGGAGACAGAGTAGTAGGTGCTGCTGTGAAGCATAGGCATTTTCAAAAGTTTCCTTACAGTTATCAAAACAATAGAAAACAAACAGATATTTCATCTCCTATAACCTAGAAATAATAATTCTATCTCTGGAAGAAAGCATATCAGGAAGGAATACCTTCCTAGGTCTTGCCTCATATGAGCAAAACATACAAAAATATTCCTGTAGTTTGCTGACAACATGCAAACACATTTTTGCCAGTGAGCAAAGAGAATTTGAGCCAAAAAATTCACTAATAAAACAAATTTCCTTCTTTTAAGGCATAAGGAAGACTTTGTAACTTTTGGAATATAACCCCTCATGTAAGCTCTGGAAACTGTCTCTCCATACAACCTTGTCTTTGTTGAACAAGTATCAAGATCAAGTGAAACAAAAGACTTTTCTCATCTTGTGCATTAGCCTTTGTAGACCACTGAGGACTGCTGGTAATCTGATGTTATACAACTTAACCTTTCACTTATTCTGTACAGAAACATGACGTGCCTTTACTGGATACGGAAAAAAGCAGGCCGTGGACAGATTTCAAAGTCTTTCTGGCAAGACTACTATGGCTTCCCAAAAAGTAGTTTAAGTCAGTACATGGGAGAAGTAAAACAGCACCTCAACTGTTCCCTGTACAGAGGATAGGTCTTCCCATAGATTAATAAAACTGAATACACTGAAGCGTGAAGAACTCTGAATTCAAAGCAAATTCCTCCACTACCTCCTTCAGCGCAAATCATTTCATGATTTATTCCCAACAGCCATGACTTAGCAGAAGCAGCATCATCAGTAATACCGTGAATTGTAAATGGTTTCATTGTCCTTGCCTGATTCTGCCACAGACTGAGCGCAGCAATTCACTACTGGCAGCAAAGAATGCCAGCTATAAGCCAGCTACTTCAGTGGAGAATCTCCCACATTTTTCTGGCAACCATACTGGTTTCCAGACAAAGGGTGTGAGCGCAACCGCCACATGCCTTTCACAATTAGCAGCACCATTGCCGTAGAGGAAACAGACTAGCTAACGAAGCCAGCAGACTGCTTCTTGATCACTTTGCAGTAGACAAGCAGGCATAGACACCTCTAGACCACTGGCTGCTAGTCCTGTCCTGGTTTACATCCTACAGCAGATACCAAGTATGAGGTGTTCACCGAAGACTCAAGAGCTTTGCCATATTATGGCATACGATACACGAAATGTCATATTACCACACTCAAAAGCTCACCTTTAAAAGAAGGGAACAGGTCCTTTGCACACCAGGTTTACTCAACTTGGAAGACCTAATACCAGCGTAACAAACATCTGTTGCTAAGTACCACCATCCTACTAAATCATTTTAGGCACATGAATGTAAGCTTACACAGTGTGTGCTGGAGATGATGACGGAGCTAGAGATGAAGCTCAGACCATCGTTCATACTGACTTGAAGAGCTGCTTCCCTGAAAAAAAACACAAGAAACAAGTCAAGCTAGCTAGTCCACAACCCTCGACGAGATAACATCTTGTGGAACCTGGGCTCCCAATGCACAGAAAAGCCTTTGGTAGAGGTTAATTCACACTGATGGTGATCTCTCCCCTGTGCTCCAATGCACAACTGCCCATTAACTCAACACACAGAGGAGACAATGGCAGAATTAGATGCAATAACAACAGAATATAGTGAGATGACAGACTCATTTTCCCACAGGCAAAGTAAATATCTGAGTATGTAGAAAAAAACATACATGCCAACTTCTCGTAGCACAGGTGCTGGGCAGAGTAAGTAGGTATCTTCCACTACAAAAGGCTTCTCATCTGGAAAAAAGAAATATTGGGATTTATTACCAGATCAGTAATACAGACCTTAAAGATCAAGCTTAAATAATGTTCTTCCTCGCTCTTGATACATAAACAAGATCAAACACTGTGTGAGGGACAAAAAGCTACTGCAGAGCAGTTGTTCTGATGTAACTGTAGGCATGCTTTTAGCTTACGGAGTTAGAGTAAATACGAAGTAAGAGCAGATACCCTGCACCTCAGGGAAAAAAAAATTCAACACCTTGCATTTACCCCCTCTACACCCCCCTGTGAAAGATGGGAAACGTAGCAGCTGACCCTCCTTCCTCCTTTCATGAGAACTGCCTTGTTCTTGACAGCTGTCATTCTCACTGTGAAACATCATTCCACAAGCCTCCTTGTGCCACCGCTCCTACAAAAGGGCCGAGGACTACCTGCCCCTGCATAGCTGGATGCCTCAGGGTGATCGGAAGCCGTACACCGTCTGTCACCCACATCTTGCACGCAGCACCTTTGCCATCCCTACTGCTGCTACTTGCTGTTGAAATCTACCATGCCACATATCTGAGCCACAACAAAACTGAAGATACAAACCTGTTTGAATGGTCAGAGTAAATTATCACATCCACTCTATACAGGAGACCAGATGGAGTTGCAACAGATTACATATAATTGGAAATATTTGAGTCAGGAAAATTGTATATTATGGAAAATTTTGCACTTCAAGGCAGACTCGTCTAAATTAAACCTTCCAACCTGAATTATACTATGGTTATATAATTGGAAATATTTGAGTCAGGAAAATTGTATATTATGGAAAATTTTGCACTTCAAGGCAGACTTGTCTGAAGCTAAATTAAACCTTCCAACCTGAGTTACACTATGGTTTTAAAAATGGAGTAAAAAAAAAATCAATAGTCAATTGCCTGGGAAACAGGAACATTAGCTAATATCTGATTTTGTAGACTTAAATCAGAACCTTATACCATCAATCTGGTGACCAGACAGATGGGGATCTCAAGGAACTTCCCACCCCTCTGCCAGCTGACTAGAGATTGGACAGATTGGCAAAAAACCAGGCAGACAGGCTGGGTGGTTTTTGGTTTTTTGGACTAGAAACCACACATTCCCACAGAAGGGGTTGATTCTGCTGAATCAGCATTTTCCAGAAGCACGTCACTACACCTCAGAAAGCTTTCTACCAGCTGTACTTATAACCATCTCTAGGGCCTTCTATAGAGATGCTTATAGACCTGAAATGAGCTGTTACCGAATATTACCAGCTTCCTAAAATTTTACAGTTAAAATTTTCATTTTGTTTGAAAGCCTCTCCTCTCCTGACAGATTCCTTCCCCTTTGCCTCTCAAACCTGTAGGTTTCAAATCTCATCTTCAATCCAAATCTTGACTCTTATCTCTATATACTGCAGGGTGGAAGAGACCTTCATTCTATGAGGCCATGACAGAACAGGAGTACAATTCATCACCGCCTTGCTTTGCTATTTGAAATAGAGACAGCAAACCTGGGGTCTCTAATCCATCTAAAGTCTCTTCACAACTGCATAGTGCACTTAATTACCTTTCCAGACTACACATAACACTGGCAACGTGGCAGCCAGGTTACACCAGTCAGTGCCTTGCTGACAGCAACAAGGAATGGAAAGGAGCAAGGATGAAAGTTAACCAAACCATTTAGCAATCTAATGAAGAGCTGAACTACTCTGGCTGTCTGGTCTTTTGTTTTTGAGGAAACTTGTGCAAGTTACAACTCTGTTTAAGGTGCCAGTGGAAAGAGGAAAAGCCATGAAGAGACATAAGCCAAAGAATGTGGCAACCTTCTCTAAAGTAATTTCTTCATCAGCTGGGAGCCTTGCTCATTCTTCACTTGGCTGCTAAGATAAATTTGTTTACATGGATGGTACCTAATAACGATTAGGGCAACAGCAGTAGAGCACAATTGATCCTGGCCCTATTCTCAGCGGTTACCTCAGCAGGGTTCACTCAGAAGCCTGGTCACGCAGCACATCTCACTGTGCTGGATGAGGCATAAAGATAAGAGATACAGACTGCAAGAGTTTATCACCTCATGCAGAAGCAGGACTCACCAAGTCAAGCATTCTTTCCCAGACATTCCTAAAGGAGAGGTTTCCACTGAATCCAAAATTTTAGAAAGCACTAATATTGCTCTAGTAATTCCTATCACACATTGTAATCCCTACTTCATACCAGTGTATTTCTTTGCTTTGGCAGCTATTGAAAAGATTATTTCCTCAGGCAGGTTAGGAAATGTTTATTTTTTACACTCCATTAAAATAAATTAAATGGTAATGAAAAGTTGTAGCCTTCCTTGAAGTTTTCCTTATGTTTCCAGCCTCCAGCAAATCTCATGCCTACGTATATACACTTGAATTTTTGGGTTACCCACAGCAGTTATTTTGTTGAGGACTGTTTGACAGAGGCAAACAGCTGAAAACAAAACATTTTAGCCAGTCATACAGTTTTCACAGACAGGCTTTGCTTCTGCATCATGGCTCAACTACTGAGACCAGTCTTCAAGATTCTTCGATCCCTCTAGACCCCTTCTCCTGCTGTTGGCCCAGAAAGTACCATATCATCACTGTCTTCCCACAACCTCAGCGCAAGAATACATACAAACATTGTGACTATGCTAAACCTTAGGAGCAGGTGTTTTTAGCACAGGGTATTCCTTTGCTAGCCCTATGCTATCTAGAAGATTACTTCCTCATTGAAAGTGAGGTGGACGGGCATTTAAAGTACGCAATGTAGTGATACGACGCACACCCCTTGCTTCCTATCACGTAGAGTGCAGGCGCTGGCTGTATGATGAGCTTGCATCGTATACTGGCACTCAGTTTTGCAATGGAGTTAACCAAGCCAAAACGGCAGCATTTCCCACTTTGCACAAGCAAGGCATACACACAGTAGTGGTGAATCTGGCCCTACAGTTCTGTTCTCACCCTGCTTTATGAAGATATCATTAACTTCCATAAATTTATGACATTGTCTCAGCACACACATGCCAAGAGAACGAAGATCAAGGTCTTGTTTTCTCCTTTGGCCTTTGCTGCCAGTGTTAGCAAAGAATTCTGCACGCCAGCACTCACTAAAGCAAAAGCTGGCTTCATTTTGCAAGGCCTTTTACTTGGATCTCATTAGCTTTTTGTTCCTCTTTCTCTCCCTTCCCACTCCCAAACTGCGTTAAAGTCTATGCCTCTCTAGAAAGTTTATCAGACTCAGCATCCCAAGAGGGGACTCATGGCTGGCCAGGCTGGCTACAGGGAGAGATTATTTTGTTTGGAGAATGTTCGTGTTTCACCACAAAAATGAGTGACTATTTTCCTTTGCTCTAAACAAAAGAGGATCCATTTGGTTTGCATAACTCTGGCGATCTGACTCCTTCCTGGAAA